CTTTCTTTCTTTCTTTCTTTCTTTCTTTCTTTCTTTCTTTCTTTCTTTCTTTCTTTCTTTCTTTTTCTTTCTTTCGCCAGTCCTGGGGCTTGAACTCAGGGTAGGCTTCTTTTGCTCATTCTACCACTTGAGCCATAGCACCACTTTTGGCTTTTTCTGTGTATGTGGTACTGAGGAATCGAACCCAGGGTTTCATGCATGCTAGGCAAGCACTCTACCACTAAGCCACATTCCCAGCCCTCGAGTAATTCCTTGGTGGCACAAGATATGCTTGTCTTGTCTCCTCTTCAATCCTCCCCTCCCTCCTCATGACAGACTCGCCTATTTTGACCTTTTCTTCTTGTTATCCCCCTCTGGAGATACACAGTACTTAGGGACATGCTTCTCCAAAGTGGTCCAAATGTCCTCCCTAGAAAAAGATCTCATTGTTTTTCTGGGCTTCCCCAGGTAAATTGCTCCCTGAGCTGCTCCAACCTTATGAAGAACGCGTGGACCATCTGAGTGAGTTCCTGGTGGACGTGAAGCCCTCCTTGACTTTTGATATTGTCCCCTTGCTGGACCCCTATGGGCCGGCTGGCTCTGACCCCTCCCTGGAGTTCCTGGTGGTCAGCGAGGAGACTTATCGCGGGGGGATGGCCGTCAACCACTTCCGCCTTGAGAATGTAAGCCCTGAGGGAAATTGGCAGAGGGAGTGGATGGGAAGCGGGGAAGCCACTGTGGGTGGCTGTTGGAAGTACCAGTGCCCCAGAAGAGAGAAGGAGGGTTCAGGGTGAGGGGAAGAAGCCAGACGACTTGGTGCCCACTGAGTTGGAAATGACACCTGGGATAGGCAGGGAAGGATAGGAGTCCAGGTCTGTCCTTCTTCCTCTTTTCACTCTTCCTCTTTACCTCAGAACCTGGAAGAGCTTGCTTTATATCAGATCCAGCTGCTGAAGGACCAGAACCACAAGGAAAATGAAGAGGATAAAATCAGCTCCTCCAGCTTCCGCCATCGAATCTTGGGAAATTTGCTTCGGCCTCCATTTGTAAGCTTTCCCTTCCTTCTGTCCCTCCCCATTCCTTGGGTGTGCCAGAAACGTAGAGTACAAACTAAGGGGTTCATCTACAGGAATGAGCTTGAGGGACTCAATAACTGTGGGGTTCCCATTCTTTTATCCCCAGAAGAGACCAGAGCTCCCCTTAGGTCTCTACGTGCTCGGGCTGACTGGCATCAGTGGCTCTGGGAAGAGCTCAGTAGCTCAGCGGCTGAAGGGTCTGGGGGCATTTATCATCGACAGTGACCAGCTGGGTCATCGGGCCTATGCTCCAGGTGGCCTTGCCTATCAGCCTGTGGTGGAGGCCTTTGGAACCGGTAATAACCGGAGGGTTGGAGTTGTTTTGAGGTGAGGAGATTGCCTGGCCTCTTTCCTCAGTCCATCTTCTCTGTCACCCAGATATTCTCCATCAAGATGGCCTCATCAACAGGAAAATCCTGGGCAGCCGGGTATTTGGGAACAAGGTAAACACACACAAGGGCTCCTCAGCCACCTGCTAGAGTCATTGTTTGGGATCTGGTGACCCTCTCTAGTTTGGCCCCAAATGACAATTTCTGCTCATATTTTCTCCACTCTCACCACCTGGGCTGGCTCCATCTCTCAGGGAAGGTAACCTCTGCCTACTCCCTTCCCAGAAACAGATGAAGATGCTCACAGACATTGTGTGGCCAGTTATCGAAAAGCTGGCTCGAGAGGACATGGAGATAGCTGTGGCTGAGGGTGAGTGGGAGGGCTGGTGGGTGCACTTAAGGGAGACACTTAAGCAGATTCTCCCCCTGGGAGCTACCCTTTCCTGGGCCAGAACATCCACTTTCCTGGGGACCATTTTGTGGGCTTCCTTTGGTTTTGGCAGTACCAGGGTTTGAAGTTAGGGCCTATTCTTGCTAAGTAAGCACTTGAAATATTTCCCCAGCCCTTGTGGGCTTTTTGCCTGATAGTAGGTATCAGAGTGCTACCGGCACTGACTGGGGTCTCCCTACAGGAAAGAATGTGTGTGTGATTGATGCTGCCATACTGCTTGAAGCCGGCTGGCAGAACATGGTACATGAGGTGTGGACCGTTGTCATCCCTGAGACTGAGGTATCTGGACCCTACCCTACCCCATCCCTACTGCAGATGGCATCCTTTTCTGATCCAGTGAGCTGAGCTGGGTCCTATGCCCTGCCCAGGCTGTACGACGTATTGTGGAGAGGGATGGCCTGAGTGAAGCTGCTGCTCAAAGCCGGCTGCAGAACCAGATGAGTGGGCAGCAGCTAGTAGAACAGAGCCACGTAGTGCTAAGCACCTTGTGGGAACCGCATATTACTCAGCGCCAGGTTGGTGTCCAGGGAAAGGCTGGGTTGTAGAGAGGGAATGTCCAGTCCTTCTTTCAAATGACCCTGTCCTTCATTCAAATGTTTTGGATTGTCCAAAGGTGGAAAAAGCCTGGAATCTTCTGCAGAAGCGCATCACCAAGACTGAGGCCCAGGCCTGACAATAACTTCTCATGGGGCCAGTCTGGAGCTTGGAGCTGATAGATCCAGTGGTGAGAGGAATAGGCACTTGGATGCTCACACTGTCTCAGGCTTAGAGGGGCTTTGGGCTAAGCTATGCAGGACATAGGTGGGCCTAGTAAATATAAGATGCCTCTCGAACATGCTGGCATTTGACCAACAGTAAGGATGTGGATCACAGGGGGAGCCTGGCTGGGGTCCCATCCCCATTCATGCCTATGGGGGGTTTGATGTTCATCACTGACTTCGGTCAGAACAAACACTGGCGCTTATAACAGTATTAAAGGTGAATGTTTCCATGTGCTACTTGTTTGGTCTGCTTCCTGCTCCTATGCCACTAGGAATCTTTGGATCTCTATACCACAAGTTCAAAGCTCAGGCCGAAACCAGAAGCCATGAGTTCTGTGTTTAAGTGCATGGTCTTCGAAGCTAACCAGACTGGTGTTGGCCTGGGCTCTACTTACCATTGTCTACCTGTGTGCTTTTGAAATAGGCTTTCTGGACACTTGGGTTTCTTTATCTATAAATCTGAATAACTTAACGGGCCTTATGACATGGGTTAATTTCACAAGTGCTCTGATAAATAGTGGCTGGGATGTTGGAAAATCAATGCTAGGGATGACGGCTCGGCCCTCGGAGAGTTTCTGGTCTGGTGGGGTCAGATGTGATAGGGGAACTCTCTGCCCAGTTCCTGACATACTGATTAGGACTAGGGGCCTGGTGAGCTGTGCGCATGCGCAGAGTCTGCAATAATATTTACACAAGTGTCTCTCTGTGTGCGGTGCTGGACATGAAAGGCAGGTTCCTGCATGTGCTACGCTAGGGCTCTACCTCTGAGCTGAACACTCCCAGACCCGAAGGCAAACCATTTGAAGGGATCACGTTTCACAGAAGGTGCCGCCGATCTCCTCCGCCATTCTAGAGACTAAGGTGGTAGGGAAGGGCAGGGACCAGCGAGAGCAGCTCTTTGACGTTGCAGCTGTCAGCGTTAGAACAACGCCAGCCAGAGATACCTCCTACCGGCGTTTAAAGTCCCGGCTGCGCTTGCGCGGCACTCCGCCCCACCTCCCTTCGCCAGCGTGGATTGGTGGGCTTGGGTCACGTGGACGTGCCTCGCCGCTTCCTCGCCGCAGGGGACCCGCCTGCTGGCTCGTTTCCGGTTCGGTAAGTCCAAGATGACCGAGCCCGGCGCTTCTCCGGAGGACCCCTGGGTTAAGGCAAGCCCGGCGAGGGGAGGGCGAGGGGTCTGGTGCGCGTCGGGGCTCAGGACTGTAAAGGGCTTCCCTCCTCTCCCTGAAGTCTCTCCCTTGCTCGCCCGACTCCGGGGCTGCAGGGAAGGGAGCTCCCGTCCGGCGTGGGAAGGTGGAGAGACCAACGAGGCATGCGTGCCCAAATGTGAGGGGGGCTGGCTAGGTGGAGATGGGGCGGCGCTCCTGGAGCCTTCCTAGGCTTGGCTTTGGGGGGAACCACTCAGCGATCCCTGCACCCCGGAGATGTGTGTTCAGGTACGCATGCGCCCTACACTAGAGGCAAAGGCCTGATGAGCCTCCCTTGCTTGGTGTCGCAGGTGGAGTATGCCTATAGTGACAACAGTCTGGACCCTGGTGAGTGCCTCCCCCACGGCCTTCAGTTCTGGAATAACACTTCCTTTTCTACTCTATAGATTCTTGTACCCTTGCCAGCCACACCTGAGCACAGTCCACTGTCCCTGAGCCAAGGTCCTGGCCTGAGAAGTGAGGGAGGACTAGAGGATGGGCAGGAAGCAACCCAGGGTGGCACTTGGTTGTCTGCTCTGTAAGGAAAGTGATGGGAATAGGGACAGCTGGTCACTCTCTCGTTGAACCCAGATGCCCCTGGGTGAGCCAAAGGGTGAAAGTGCGAGCCTGTGGAGCAGTGTAGACCCTGGGGACAAGAGACAGGCAGCGAGGTGTGGTAGGAAGTAGGCGACCTAGAATGGCTGGCTTTGGCGCTGAAGGGAGAGGTTAGCATTTGAGGAAGCCATTGTGCTCACAAGGTGTCTTGAGGCTTGGCAGTGTTCCCCACCTCTTAGTGATTGGGGCCTCTCTTTTCCAGGGCTTTTTGTAGAAAGCACCCGCAAAGGGAGTGTAGTGTCCAGAGCTAATAGCATCGGTTCCACCAGTGCCTCTTCTGTCCCCAACACAGGTAGGCAGCAAACACCCCCTCCTACCTGGGAGGATCATCTTAGTATCCTCCCTAGACAGGGATGCTCCAGCTGTCTCCTTACGGTTGCTGGAAAAGGAGTGCCACAGAGTCTCACCAACTTCTACCTCAACCTGGATATTAGGCTTTCCTGTCCATCTGCCATTTCCTGGTACCAGGGTCTTCTTCTTAGCTAGGGAAAGGTGGGCCCAAAAGATGACCTCTGTCCCCTAACTCTTGAGTATAGATGACGAGGACAGTGATTACCATCAGGAGTCCTACAAGGAGTCCTACAAAGACCGCCGGCGGCTAGCTCACACTCAGGCTGAGCAGAAGAGGAGGGACGCCATCAAGGTGACTGGAGGCCTAGGCCTCAACCAACAAGGGAGGGTCCTGCATGTTTCTCATCCACCCTGTCTGGATCTCTTAGAAATTCCCAACAGCCTTGGGGCAAGCTAAGCCAGTCCTTGAGAACAAGTCTCTTAACCTTCCACCCTTTTGAGTTTGTGAGCATGCAAATGGAGGAAAAGCTTGTGCCACCTTGCCTTAATCCCTCAGGATAAAGGAATTCATTTCTCATATCTCCACAGAGAGGCTATGATGACCTTCAGACTATTGTCCCTACCTGCCAGCAGCAGGACTTCTCTATTGGCTCCCAAAAGCTGAGCAAAGCCATCGTTCTACAGAAGAGTATGGCCAGGGGATGTGGGGAGAGGGGGAACAGGGCTGTGGAGCTGGTCTGGCCCTGTGAAGGGTGGCTGAAATGGGAAACTTGGGTATTGAGGGACAGGCAACAAAATCAGCCTTGAGACTTCCTTTATACCTATTCCCTCTGTCTACCTCTTCCCTAGCCATTGACTACATCCAGTTTTTGCACAAGGAGAAGAAAAAGCAGGAAGAGGAAGTGTCCACACTACGCAAGGATGTCACAGCTCTAAAGATAATGAAAGTGTAAGAGGGGGAATTAGAGCTTCTGATGAGACTGAGGCCAGCTTCAGTGCACACCTTCCTCTATTCAAAGGCCATATCAGATACTTTGTGTGCATTATCCTCTCATTCCCTGAGCTGACCACTGAGAGGCAGACTTCTCTGTCCCTTACCCATAGCACTCAGGAAATAAGTGCCTAGAAGATTAATGCTGGGAAGGCTCAAATGAGTCACCATTTCAGTATCTAACTAATGTTGAATATATCCCCGAAACTCTCTGGGAATCCCTTTTGTGTGGAGGGGGGATACAGGGTCACCCCTCCTTTTTTCTTGAGCTAGTTGAGCTGCTACAGCACCTGAAAGCCTGCGTGCTTTCAGGAACTATGAGCAGATTGTGAAGGCACATCAGGACAACGTCCACGAGGGGGAGGACCAGATCTCTGACCAGGTCAAGTTCAACGTGTTTCAAGGGATCATGGATTCCCTATTCGAGTCCTTCAATGCCTCCATCTCCGTGGCCAGCTTCCAAGAGCTGTCAGCCTGTGTCTTCAGCTGGATTGAGGAGCACTGTAAGCCGCAGGTATGGGGCAGCACTGGTCATAGGGTCTTATCTTGCCACCTTCAGACAGTGGTCTAAGCTATTTGTTCAGAAAAGCAAAGTATCTGCTGTTACATTTCTCTAGAGTATACATAACTTTCAGCATTGTTTCCTTCCTTGATTTTCAAGTTAAGGTCTCATCTGGCACGTATGCTGTGAATACACAATGCCAGGCCTAGTGCTCAACTCGAGCCCAGGTTATTGTTCCCTCATTAGCCACTCCTCTGCCCCTCTGTGTGGAAATCTCAACTACCACCAGTAGTTACTTCAGGTTTTTGGAAACTTGTAGATCCTAGGGGCAACATCTAGCTCAAGTTTGGGCAGTAGTTATGTGGAAGGAGAGGAACTACTTGGGAAGGGTCTCAGCCTCTTGAGTAGATAGGATTATAGGTATGAGCCACTGGCGCCCCGTGGGGCCTCTATTTTTAATACTTTCCCCCCACTCAGTCATGTGGCTTGAACTCAGGACCTGGGCACTATCCCTAAGCAATTTTTGCTCGAAGCTAGTGCTCTACACCAAGCCACAGCTCCACTTCTGGTTTTTCTGGTTAATTAAGAGTTGAGTCTCACGGACTTCCCTGCCTGGGCTGGTTTTGAACCATGATTCTCAGATCTCAGTCTCCTGAGATTACAGGTGTGAGCCACCAGCAGCTTAATACTCATGTGAAAAGAACATGGGTGGTTGGCATGGGTGGTCTAGGTAGACAAAAGCTACTCTGTGTGATCCCCTGAGCGTTGTCTTTTCTTGCTGCCCCCACCAGACCCTACGAGAGATTGTGATTGGGGTGCTGCATCAGTTGAAAAACCAACTTTACTGATGGCTCCTGGAAACCTGCTAAGCAGCCAACAAGAGGCCTTTGAGTCTACTATCTGGCCATGGGACTGCTGGGCCTCCAAAGGGACTGCAACACCTTACACCGGTTGGCTGGTTTCTACTTGGTGTTTGGTTTTCCTAGCTCTACTTTATCTTTAGTGGGGCTAGAATGTTTGTTTTGTGAAAGTTCCTGATTAATTTATTATATTGACCATAAAGTCAAATCTACCCAGTCTTCCCTCTCCTGGTAGAATTCCTTAGGACAGGAATTTGTTCTGAGTACTTTTGAGAGTTCCTGGCCTTTCTGCCCTCAGATTTCTGCTTGTGATCCACATATATTTAGAAGCTGTTGGCCTCTGTCTTGGTGTCTTGGGTAATAATTGGCTCAAGTGTCGACATTTTGGCTGTAGTTGAGTGGCGGAGGAGGGAAGGGAAACAGTCCCACTGCCATGAGGGTGAAAGGCCACCTTGTATCTGACTAGAACTGCCTACTCAGTGCTTCTGTGGCACTTTGGTCCTCTCTGCTGCGGGCACCGGGAGCAGCAGCCTCCTGTCTACCCTGCACTCGCCTTCCTATAGGCACTGGCACAGCATGGCAAAGGCAGGCATGATACAGCACTACACATTTGAAATTTTTTATTTTCTTAAATACTAACAATGCAGTTTTGCCACATTTACAATTTTGGAAAATTAAACAAGGAGGCCTCAACATCACTTCAGCTTTTCTGTCCAGTGTGTCTGGGTCTCTGCCAGTGTTGCCCACATTTCTCCCAGAACTTGGGGTGAGGCAAAAGGGTATAGAAGACACTTGGGTCTTCTGGGATTAGTCCTGGGTGATGCTTTGGGCTCCTCAAATACTGATATTTAGTAGCAGCTTTACCTTTGTTTCCCAAGCTCCCTGCTGCCTTCCTCAGGTTTGATATCTGGGAGGTTTGAATATCCAGAGGAAATTAAATATTTTTATATGAAATTATATCACAATAAATATTGCCAAATGCCTTCCTTTAGCATGTTACAAGTCTTTGTGTTAAGCTCAAGCCACTGCAATGTGGACAACAAAATGGGCATGACCATCCATCTCTTCCTGTCTACTAGCACTGAGCTACCACAGCTACCACTCATACTCTGGCTATTCCTTTCTCTGCAGTGCTATGCTCAGTTAGAGAACGGCAGGAGCAACAAAAACAACACAAAGGCCAGCCTGGGAATCTCTTCGTTCCAATCCCTAGTTCCCTCAGGGGTCTGGGAGCTTGACTTTGCAATCTTCATCTGTCTCTATCCCAACTTCCTCCTGTGTGACAGGGAGAGAAGTAAATGAGACACACTTGGGCAAAGACCCCAGGGGAGCAAAGGAGAGTGCACTTACAAAGAACTGCTTCTTGCTCTTGGAGTAGCCTTCAAGGATTGCATCACACATCTCTGTTGCCTGTTAAGAAAACAAAGTCACAGGGCTGGGAAGGTGGCTCAGTGGTAGAGCACTTGCCTTGAATGCCTGAGGCCCTGGGTTTGATTCCTCAGCACCACATAAGCAAAAAGAAAAAAGCCGGATATGGCACTGTGGCTCAAGTGGTAGAGCGCTAGCCTTGAGCAAAAGAGCTGAGAGACAACGCCCAGGCTGAGTTCAGGCCCCACGACCGGACCCCCCCAAAAAAACCAACCAAACAAAAAAGAAACAAAGCCACCCCTTTTCGGAAGGGCAGTACTGGGCACTGCCTCTTGGGTCATGCTATTGGGCAGTGGTTTCTCCAGGGCTGCCTCCCTGGAGCTCCCACTCACCATCCTCTTCCGCTTCCTCCATTCCCTGCAGTATTGCTGCCTTTCTCTGTATACCTACAAGGGAGAAACAGTTCCTCCAAGTCCTGCAAGCCCACAGCAGTGTGAATATACACATACATAGTTTCATGTTCATTCCAGACCTGCACAGCAGCCTCCACTCTTCCAGTCTCCTTCCCACCTTACCTGCTCCTTCTCTTCTGGAGTGATATGGTTAGTAGCTGCTTTGATGTTCTTCAATCTCTCTGTGTAGCCAGCACATTCCTTCTTTAACTCCTGGATCTCTTTCTGCATCTCCGGAGTGGTCAGGCTATTAGTTAGTTCCTTCAGCTCTGAAACCACATTCTTTGGGGTCACTTGCTATCCCTGAGGAAGGGAGTCTATCTTTTCCAACAGGTGCTCCCTGAGGTAGGAAACAGACTTCCATCTTGCTCTGGGATCTCTCCAAATTGGGATCTCCCTGCCCCCCCCCCAACCTGGAAATACTCAAGAAAATAAGGCTTACAGAATAAATAGAATAAACTTATTCTATTTTTTTTTCTTCCCCATCTACAATAAGTGTTGGGTAAAAGGTTGAGCAGGGAGATATGTAACTCATTAAAGAAGCAGGAAAGTGGAAACACGGGGGCAGCGTGTGCTGATGTTCATCTTACCCATTCGTACACAAAGCGATTTACTAATGGCATTTCACTTAGTGCAGTGCCTCAGGCAGCCCAAAGCACTCTGAGCTGCAACAAGACCCTACAGCTAATGAGCCATTCACTTAGCAATTCTGGAGGTCTAGACCAAATCTAACCCCATGGACACTTTGGAGGGACTCCCCAGTTTCCTACCAGTTTCCATGTGTCGACAGCTCTGCTGCAAGCTCTGCACCTTAGCAGTGAGGGCCACAATTTTGGCATCCAGGCCATGGAGGTCAGCATCATTCACCACATCAAACTGGTCCTGCCAGAGATGAGGGGAAATACAAATGAGAGTGTGAGGCAGACTCCACATTAGGAGAGACAACATTCAGATACATTCAAGAACCCAGTACTCTAAACCCTGCAAAGTGCTACGTGTGTATGTGTGTGTGTGTTTGTGTGCGCACGTGCACATGCGTGCGCTTGTGCTGGTCCTAGGGTTTGAACCCAAGGCCTGGGTGCTGTCCCTGAGATTTTATTTACTGGTGCTCTACTTCTTGAGCCACTTCTGGCTTTTGGTGGTTAACTTGAGGTAAGAGTCTCATGGAGTTTCCTGCCCAGGCTAACTTTGAACTGTGATCCTTAGATCTCAGCCTTCTGAGTAGCTAGGATTACAGGCATGAGCCACAGGTGCCCCGTGCAAAGTGCTACTTTTTAGAAATTATTTTTGTTTGAGACAGTGTCTGTGTTGCCCAGGTTAGACTTGCACTCATGATCCTCCTGCCTTAGCTTCCTGAATGCTGGGATTAGAGGCATGAGTCCCCACACCTGGCTGAAAAAGTACTTTTGAGTAATCATTCAGTTCAACTCTAGTCCCCAAGGGGCTGGGAAGGTGGCTCAGTGGTAGAGCGCTTGCCTTGCATGCATGAGGCCCTGGGTTCGATTCCTCAGCACCACATAAGCAAAAAGAAAAAAGCT